CGCTCATCTCGCTTTATTGGCCGAGGGAGCCGGCGTACAGCTTCCGGGTCATGTGGCCAGCATGACTAAGCAGCTTCTGGCGAACCAGAGCAGCACACGGAAACACTGTTTACCTTCCCGCCGGAGTGGTACCTATTTATCTACTTGCACTTTGACGTGCTTTCGAACTGCTAGGTTAGCAGGAGCTGGGACCAAGCAACGGGAGCTCACCCCATCGTAGGGATTCGAACCGCTGATCTTCTGATCGGCAAGTCCTAGGCTCTGTGGTTTAATTCACAGCGCCACCCGCGTCCCTTGAGGGAAGTTAACCTACTTTAATTAGCAACCTTGAGTTCCCAAGCGGCACCGACCTTGTGCAACTTCTTGTTCAAGGATGGCTGGGAGAACTTGCACAAGTAGTGGGAGGGAATAGTGCCTGAATTAGCATGAAGACAACCCATTTTATTATGGCACACCCTTTTGCAAACTACAGCATCGATGTAATCCTCAGTCTCAGGTATGTACTGTATATGCACATGGTTTCCATGGTATGGAAGGAAAGCACATGAAATCACCACCACCCTGCCAAAACTAAGCAGGTCTGGGTCTTGTCAGTGCATGTATGGGTGGCCACCTTTGGCTCCTTGATAGAAGATAAGGCAAATATAAAAGTAAGTAAATAAAATAAAATTGGGGAAAAAATTGTTGTAAGGGGTGTGGAATTGTGGTCCCAGGGAAATTAAATGCACAGAGTACTGATACTGAGCGACTCAATTAGAGCTGGAATGTATGCAAGATAAGCAGAGTAACCCTTTGCAAAAGCAATGATAGGCCCCGTTCAGCCCTGAGAGGGAACAATAAAAAGATTACTTGGCTAATACACTCGGTAGATGTACATTTCCTCAGGCATCTGGATCCTGCCACTGTTGGGAGATACAATACATGGCTTAGTGGACTTGACTCAGTGCAGCTGCTCCTTTACTCTTACCGGTAACAGCCCCCCACCCCAATAGAAACAATAAAGAAAGGTGAGGGTGGGGTTTGCCAAACAGGATCTATTTAATTGCTTTTAAGATTCATTTCAATGCAAATAATTTGGGCAGGACCAGACCTAAAGAACATTTGCCCAACCCAAGGATTGCAACATTATCATAGCCGTGGATGGAAATCGAGAATGACAAAACCGAGCAAATAAAATGAGACAAAACTGGTTACCCAGTTGGAACTACTCCCCCTCCAAAGGTCCCTTGGCATGGATAAACAGCATAAAGACAGAGAATCAAATTATCAAGTTTTTAAAACGCGTTCCTTTTCAATAACCCAACTCAAGTTTTCTTTATTTTAAATAAGCAGCTAACTCAAAAGGGTTCTTATCTTACTTGCAAAATTGCAAGCATCTGAGTACATTTATATCTTCCTGTTACTACTTCAGTTAGTTGACTGTGCTATATGTTTTCCCCCTTAAGGGTCAACCATTAATACGATCCTGAAATACAGACTCACTAGAAGATTCTGTTGAAGTTAAAGTGCCTTGTGTCAAGGGCTCTGACGCTCCCATCATCCATAGCAAGCTGTATGCCATGATATTGACAGCCAGGAGGCATACAGTGATGCACTCTGTATCCCTATACCACAATGTGCTTCACTTGGTAGCATTGGCAATCTTCTACTTGGGCCACGTGTACATTTTCAGTGACACACAATGTAGCGACACACAATAACTTTCTGGGGAAATATTTCAAATTCTGAAGAGCGAGCATCAAATATTTAGGGTCTGGCCCTGTACAGAACCGAGGAAATATTTAAATACTTAGGCACCGTCAGCCAACAGTTAAGCCCTTGAGTGACAAAGTGTCTGGAATGGTTTCCCCAGTCCTGACGCTTCCAGTGCCTAATTTCTAAAATGAGAGACAGCTGCTGTGTGGATTTTAGAATGCACAGTCAATTATATGTAGCATGTGCATCTCACACATATAGGCAACGGCGATACACCCTGTAGCAGATGTTAAGCAAGTACAGCCAGAGACACAGCCCAAGACATTGTGGTGCCTGAGGCAGAAAATCTAAACTGCCACCCCCACTGGTGAAAGATAAAATAAAACAAACATAGCCATTGACAGTTTGCTGCCCTTTAATGATACCCAAAACTCTGCTCTCAGAGGCAAGCCACTGTACCCTGCCTAATCGTGTGACTAGGTACAGTCACCCTCCCTAGACTGTGTGAATGAACATTGAGTGTGAATGTCTCGTACTGATGAATACTACTCTGAAGTAAGACGACTAGCTAAACAGTGCCATGACCCAGTTTCCTTGCGCTGTAAAATAACTGCTTTCTGAAGTTTATGGTTGATTTCCTCACGTGGCCCGGATTTGCTGCCAGGGTGGAATCAGAACTGCCTTTACCCAGGAGAAAATCTGAACTCCCAAGGAACTATTACCCCAAGAGAATTTATGTAAAGGCTATGATAACATTTACATGAGCAGATTTAAGGCACTTGTGGCCCCACATTTGCTTACTTGGGGGACGGCAATATTGAGTCAATTTCACCCTGTCATCGACTTCAGATTTTGTTCTCTCTGCCATACCAAAGAGTTGTATACAGGAAGTAGGTCTTTGCATGGCTGGGAGAATGGCTTCAGGCCTTCTGGGGGTAATTAAAGAGCAAAACCAAGGCTGATTAACTGTGGATTGCTTGGAATGTTTCTATATATTCTAGTAGCAGTCCCTTCTTTGAGACGGGGTTTTTGATTGCACACAAAAAATAATTCTGTATCCGCATATACCTCAAAATCTAATCTGGTTAGATGTTCAAAACAGAAGATATGAAGATCTTATTTCCCTACCAGTTTTAATAACTCTCTCTCTCTCTGTGTGTGTGTGTGTGTGTGTGTGTGTGTGTGTGTGTTTGGTACCAAAAAAAAATCAGCACTTGAACTTTAAGTGAATTAAGGATAAAAAAACCCCAATGCTGACACATTTAATTGTAGGGTGTTTTTTTCATGATATGATCTTATTTTGCCTGAATTCCGAAATATCACCACAAAATTAAATGGTGAATTTGAAAGTTGCTATTTTTTTTAATGAGATGTTTAAATCTTACATTTAAAAAAAAATGGATGGTTATTGATTATGTAATATCTAAAGGCCAGATGATCCTTTATAAATTACCATACTGGCAATTAATGGGTTTACATGGCTGTGAAAAGGCAACCTGCTTGTCATAGAAGCAGGACGGCTTCAAACACATTGGGACTGGGGTGAGGGTGGTTGGGGGATGTCCTAAGCTCACTTACTATAGAGCAAGTTCCCAAGAATTCCGTGGCACATACTCCTGATTAAATATGCTGAGGTTCATGTTGCTAAATTAAAGTGGAATGGCAATAGCTCAGTGGTAGACCTTGCATGCAGAATATGTCACATGTTCACTCCAGGTAAAACTAGGAGACCACTGTCAGACATCCTGGAGAGCTGCTGTGTAGAAGATATTGAGACAGATGAATTAATAGTCTGGCTCGTTATAAGGAAGCTTCCTAAAATTTTAATTCAAAACAGCAAAATTACCTCGACACTCACCCTAAGAGCGAGTCCTATGTATTCTAGAATTCTGTCTCCTGCGGACATGCAAATTGCAGGCTTTCATTCAGTAGTCAAAGAAAACACTACATTAAATCAATGCTGCTCTTTCTGAAAAGGATTTCAGAGTACATCACTGTACTTCAGATGAATTCCCACAAAACCTTCCCTTTTAAAGTTTTCGCTGTTCTGTAAAAGAAAGAAAAAAACTTCACCGAATGCTGTATTTTCCAGATGACACCTGGGTTCAGGCATTATCCATTTGTTTCCAATAATTATTCCTTGCCTTAAAGCAAAACAACAAATAGACGTTGCAGCACAATCCTAGAGGCGTCTAACCAAAAGGAGGCCCCATTGACTTCAGGGGAACTTACTCTTAGGACTTGCAGCCTTAAAACCATTAACAGATTTCACTGTCCTAGTTACACACACACACACACACACACACACACACACACCCCTCCCAGAACGGACGGATAGATTAAATTAGAAATGTTAACAACTCTCTTAAGTTGTTATTTTCCCGAATGGGATTGATTTTGAGCTGACACCACCTTTCAAAACACAAGAGAAAGAGGCAGCGCGTGTGCTTTCCGGCTTTCGGTTCCTAACCGGGGGTGGCGTGGGGTGGGGAGAGTGGGGAGTTCATGTTCAGTCGAGGGCCGGAAGGTCACCGTGGGGAGCGCCGCTACAAAGGAGCGCCGAGTTCAGCGCCTATTACGTTCTGCACAACCTGGCGGTGTGGCCTCTGTCCCCCCCCTCCTTTTTCTTTTAAGAGACATATTTGAAATATCAATCATATGCCTTTCCTTGAAATGGCCCTTGTTTAAACGGTCACAGATTGGAAGGCCTGTTCAAACATTATTGCCCTAGACAGACAGACAGCCTAATAGCTCCTTGGATGAGTTGAGTTTGAAAGGCCAGTATAAATATAGCGAGAGGGGAGAGAGAGATTTTTTTTTCAGGTCCCCGCTCGCAGCAAGGGCATCCCCCAGCGCAAGCCGGAATTTCTGGAGCAAAAAAATAAATAAATGCACACCCAAAGGCAAGAGCTCTGGCCTCCGATTGGCTCAGGAGCCTCCAACAGCTGGGCCTCCTTCCCCACCCCTCCCCCGCACCCTCCTCTCCTTTATCAGATTGGAGAGATCCTCCCTCTCCGCAAACAAAGAACGAGAGTCATTCAAGCGAGACGAGGCGTCCCGCTGATTGGCCGAAAGCTGCTAGGCGCGACTGCGGGGATTTAAGGTGGACGAGCGCCTTTGGGGACCCCCCCCCATGGAAAATCGCGGGGGGGGGCGGGCTGGCTTGTTTTGCAGCGAAAGGAAACTGAGCCGGGAAAGAGGAGCTGCAAGAGCTTATCCCAGTTGCTAGCCAGTCTGGCTTTGACTACGGTGGGGTGGGGGGAAAGTGTGTTGTTGGGGGTGGGGGTGGGGAAACAAGCCCGCCCCTCCTTAAGAGAGGCACGGCGGAGAAGTTCCCATTGATTAAAGCTGCGAGGGGTGGGGGGAAGGGCAGGCTGGAGCGGCTCTTCCCAAGCAAAGCTGCCTTTCTTCCCCTCCCCCCTCTTCCTCTCCCTCCCTCCCTCCTTTCTTCCGCCCCGGGCGCTCCTCTCTCCCCAGCTCCGCCGCCGCTGCTTCTCTCCTTTCGTTCTCCCTGGGGGTGAGACCTGAAGCAGAGCCGGGCAGCGAAGCCTCTCGGGCAGCCTCGGCTGCAGCAGAGCGTTATTTATCGCGGCCGGCTTGCATGCACCGCTGCCGTCTCCATGCAAAGCCTTCTCTGCAAAAGCAGGCACAGCCGGAGCTGTGTGTGTGTGCAAACGCGAGGAGGGGTGGCTGCAGCAGTAGGAGGAGAGCCGGAGGGGAGGGAAGGGAGAGATGGGGGCAGGATCGGATTCTGCAAAGAAGAAAGAAGCGGCTGCTGCAAGGCACAGCCCGGCGACGGAGCAGGCAGCTCTGGCAGGAAGGCGCCGCTTGCAATAACTTTTTATTTTTTGCTGGAAGCAGCAGCAGATCGCCGGTCGAGCAAGAAGCGGGGGCGATCGCCTTCGATCCCGGAGGGGACTGCTCTCTCCCGGATGCACCAGGATCGTGTCCTCTCCAGCTGGGAAGATGCAAATCCGCTGGCCTGGGGGGCGAAACAAAAGCGTCTGGTCTGCAGTCGTGGAGGGGGGGGGTGCGCGAGTTGTGCTTTGCAAAGCTTGGGAGAAAAAGGAGCCGAGTGGATGAATCAAGACAGCAGGCAGGCGAAGCGGCTGATCTCTGCGGCGCTCCGGTCTCCAGCGACGAACTGCATGCAGAGCCATGGCGAGCCGGAGACCCGGATGTACGTGCGAAAGCCCAGGGACTGCGAAGACACGTGGTGACGGGGAAACGGGAGAGGGATCGCCTGTAATGAGATGCTGCTTCCTCCTCCCAGCTGAGCTTGTAAAATATTTTGGCCGGAGGCGAGATCCCAACGAGGAAGCAAGTCTCCCCCGCTTCAGGGTTGCAGAGAAAATCCGCGTTGAATTTTAATGTTTTATTGGGGGAAGGGGTGTATGTGTTTAGAGAAAAGGGCGGGGGGGGGGGAGAAAACACTGTGGGGAGGTTGCTCCCTACCCCCAATCTCTCTCTCTGTGTTAATAACTCATTGGGGGAAAAGGGACTGGCTCTCTGGATTTGCAGGTATGTGGTTTTATTTATTTCCCGCCTCCCATATTATTTCCCCACCTCCCGTGATTGTGAACAATTCGCCCCATTCCCTTCACCCCAATATCTTATTTAAAACAGAATAACATCCAATAAAGAGACCAAAAAAAAATATGCTCGATCTGATTGTTTCGAATACTTGGGAAATGGAACGCGCAAAATATCGTACTGGAGCGAAAATAAAACATTTTTTTAAAAAAAGCAATTAATTAATTAAATCCATGTTAGGATTGTATTCAAATGCAAAACGGGCCCAAAATGGAAATGCAGGATTATAACAGTCACATATCGCCTAAAATGTAATAAATTCTTAGTGTATTAAAATTAGGGTGGTTTTACATATACGGTATTGTAAATTTATTTTTAAAACTGGGCCTTGGGAAAACTAAGCGTTTGATTTCTGAACGTTAGAAACACTGATGATAATTCACTTTCGTAAAGGGGTGGGGGGATTTCCTAATGCTAACTGGCACGTGACATAATTTCCCACAGTAATACCAGTAACATTATTTCCAATAATACTGTATTAATAACTTATAAATAAACGGTAATATTTGGACCATTGTGGACCTTTATTTGAACTTTTTCTTTTTTCCTTTACTCAAAGTCCCGTCCCCCCCCCGAAACAGTTATAGGTGATTAGGTCAGAAACTAGTAAATGTTCAAATATTTCGGTTGGCATTTTAATTTAAATCTAGGCTTCGGGCAGGTGGAACCATTTTTGTCGGGGTTTGGCGGTTGTTAATGTAAAAGGAAAATAATTGTATTAAATACGAAATTGCAGGAAAAGATGGAAAATCTGTCCCCTTAAATTGAACAAAAAACAACCCTATTTACATGCAAGAGGCCCGGCAGATTCTAAACACCCTAAATTTTCTAAATTTAAAGGAAATAGATCTACGGCCGAAAACAAAATGGATGGATAAAATGAAGAAAATTTAATTTTTGTTGGTAATAACAAATACGAACAAGCAAGTGGGGATTTTTATGAACGATCACCCCCTTTTTAAGGATTCAGAATTTCAATTGCAGAAAATAGACTCGCCAGTTCCCTTTGAAAACTGCCCATGACGTTATTATTTGTTTCCAAGTTTTCATGAATAAAAACGTTAATGGTTTGTGGAACAATGGCTCTATAATACACAAATACCACAGCCAGTCTTAACATTGTATTTCCCAGGCGTTTTTAAAGGGCTTTCCTTCCCAAAAGCGTGGGAAATTTTGCTCTAGTATATTCCAGTTTGCAATGAACAAATATTCTAAATTAACTAGAGCGCTGGTGTGTTGGGGGTGGGGGGTGGTCGTTTTTGGTAATATAAAAGCTGAATTCACTAGAACTTTAAAATAAATTAAAAATTAAAAGATATTTCTATACAAGATTTTAGCGAGACACGCATTAAATATATTGTGCATCGGGAGTTTCGAAGAGCCCAACTCTGAATACCTAAAACATTTTTTCCCCCTTTATTAATTAAAACACCCTCTAAAAAACAATCTCGATTTAACTGGCGAGAGGGGAAGCCAGGAAAAACACAACACTATTTTTGTAGTAGATTTCTTTGCAAGATTTCCCACCTATGCAATTCTTTCTATTTTACTTTATGGGTGCCTTAAGCTTTATTTCTCCCCTTTCTCCAGCGTTTAAAAGTATCCATATATTTAAAGAATATAATTTAGATCCAATCTTATCTGCCACATGGCTTTTTTTGAGGGGGGTTATTTAAGTTTGGAATTCTTAGTCCTATTTAATTTTTAGTAGATGCTGTGGAAATCCTTGCTTCCGAGTAAACGTAGGTAGTCTCGAACTGTAAATCCTATTTAAAAGGGAAAAAAATCAGTTTTTCTCTTTGATAAAATGTACTGAGCCAGAATGAAAATGGAGCTGAACGTTCTCTTCGTTTTGTTCAAATAACCCAGCATTTGAGTCTTTCCCCACCTCAAAAGATTAAGTGGTGCTAATATTGAACATCTAGCTTTTGCCCCCGTATTGGTGCATCGAAATCGCCACTATTCTGGAGTTTTACACTGGAATTAAAACTTGCCGTGCAAATGTTTTTTTTTTTTTTTAATTAGAAAAGGGGGGTTCGGAGCTAGACTCTTTGCTTCCATTCCTTTATTTATAGGTACTTGTTTTGCAAAATGTTTCCATTTGGAATATCCTTTAGTACTAAACCAAATCTTTGCACCCTCGCCCTGGCTAGTGCGGTTTCTTCCCCTTTACGCATATTTATTATACTGAGCTTAACATCTTAAACTCGCGGGTCCTCGGCTCTATCTTTCGTCGTCCCCTCCGCGCCCAATCCTTCCCCTCTCGTGTTAAGATATATATTTTTTTATAAATTGATTTTCCCCTCCCGCGATTTATATATTGTACAGGGCTTGTGTCGAGAAGCCCTTGTTAATATTCTTTAGCTGGGATTGGGGCGTTCAGGTTTTCAGCGCTGGGAAGGGGGGGGGAGCCCTCCGGAGATTTTGCAGAGTTCATATTGCCTCTTTCTCCTTCCCTGCTTATCCCCCACCCCTTTTCCCCTCTTTTAAGACTTGAGTTGAAAGTGGCAGGGAAAAAAAATAATTAGATGGAAATAAAAGATTAGACTAGGAAATCGGGCAGGGCTTTAGGAGGATATAACACTAGGGACATAAGCCACACATTAATAAATCTTTCTCCCAAGATCTGACAAAAGCTGCATCCTACAGATTTCTCTCCCTCTCCTCCTCCCCCCCCCTTTTCACCCACTTCTCCCTTTAATAACTAAAACTTTGCATCTGCTTTAGAGTTATTTTTGCCCCAGTGCCTCGAAGCTGCCAGGTACTCGGAGGTTAATTTCACTGTGTGCGTTTGTAAATTTATTTGGAAAGATAAAGTGTAATCAGTGGATGGTGGGGTTTTTTGGGGGGTGGGGATGGGATTTCTTTTCTTTCTTCCGAGAAAGAGATTTCTTTGAACCAGGAGAAAGCCCAGGCGCCAGATCGTATTCTTCTCCCCTCCCCACACTTCCAAAATTTTAATTTTGATGGGTTCATTATCTTTCGCTTCCCCCCTTTCCCTCCCCAGTTGCTCTGATATACTCATAAGACCTCTCTGCGTTTTAAGGAATATGGGGCATTTTCGTTCGGGGTTTTTAACATATCGTGACAGTCACCTCTCGATCCAGCTAACTCGATCCATTTTCAAAGGGTCCCCTTTCTTGTCTTCCACGATCGGATCGTTATAGATTTCTAACCGCGTGCGTGTCTGTCGAACCCCGACTCTGCAAAGTTGCCTGGGTTCTTGCTGCCTTTGTTTAAGATATATATGAGATATTTTTAAAGGTCCAAATTAATCACAGAACCCTAGTTGCAAAGGGCTGGAATAATTTTGTGTGTCTTTATTCTTTCCTGTGTTGTTGTTGCCGGTTTATGACCTTTTCATGCTGTTAAAAGGGGCGTCTTGCCACATTTAATTTTGGTTCCAATGAGATATGGAAAAAGGGGAGCCCGGCGTTTTGAAGTAATTTGATAAGCCATCAAGTAGCAAATCCGAATGGGGAGGAGGGAGAGGAGGTGGGGGAGAAATTGGGGGGGGGGACTTGACTGCTCCAGGTAGAGTTTTCTTTATAACCTGAATTTACAATGAAAGCATTCTCCTTTATGGATATAATAGATTAGATTTCACAACTTAATTCAGCGGAATGGTCGCGTTTAAGGATCTCCGACTGATTTTATTACACTGAGCCAAATTGGATGTTTGTGCTTTTAAAAGGGAAACGGTTGTGACATGAAGATATATAATTTTTAAAGTAAGAAAAAAATATACGATGGTGGGGGCAGGGGAACAAAATTATCTAGGGGCCTGGGAAAGCCAGGAAGGACACAAACGATTCAAATGTAGTTTCTGGAGGCCAAGAGTTGGAAAGAGAGAGGCGATCTGCAACAACAACAAAAACCCAGCAAGTGAAATGAAAGGGTCGAGGCTCCTTCCGAGGCAGGCGTAAAACCGACCAGATCTATAGGGTCATTTCGTCGCTTCGGCTCCAGCAGCCTCTGCTTCTTAAGGAGGATTTGATCACACTTGGGAAGCCTTGTGTTGTCTATTTAAAATAAAATAAAAACAGTTTGGGGACGTACATGAGGGGGTAGTTGCTTTATTTAAATTTTAAGGAAACCGCCACTTTCATTCCTTGTTTACCAGTGACTTGTAACTGGAGAGATTAATAAGAGATAATAACCGTTGCTTCCGCGACCGCATTTGCGTTTGGTAAAAGCAACAAACGGAGCTCTCCTTTCGTTGCCTTCCATCGGGAGCTGAGCATCGGGCCAGGGGTAGTAGGGGAAACTTCCACGGCGGAGAAATTTGGAAAGACAGAACTAGGGCGCAAATTTATGATGGGGCAAGGAAGGCGCGGGGGTGGGTGGGATTTTTCTCGGTGGATCTTCTATTCGAGCCCTTGGGGAGGAAGACAAAAGCAGAGGGAACCTTTAAAAAAAAAAAAAAAGGGCGGACGGGAGAGGGAGTTGTTTAAAGATTCTAATCTTAATTTAAGGGCCCTTTCCTCTTGCAACGCAAGCCCCAAATCGCACATTTTAAGAAGCCTAATACAGAAATGGGTGTTCAATTTTATATGCATACACACGCACTTTTTACGCTCCACGGACTCTCTTGTAAAACCGTTCAATTCGCCATCCGCCTCCGAACCGATTCCTTAATATTGACAGTAATTGTGCGTCTATATAAATGCACGTCTATAAATGCGAGTTGCACAATTTGTGTTATCACAGACCTGTCCTCGTCCCTATGCACACAAAGAACCCGGGTGGGGGGGCAATTTCCCCCCCTTAACGGTTCTTTTTTCCAGAGCTTCCTTTGTAAACAAAGGGCTGGCCTCGGAGGAGGTAGATACGATGGAGTGGCCTCTCCGGCTCTCGGTTGAACCAGTTCGCAGCAGATCCAAGGACCGATGTGGTGGCGGCGGCGGCTTTGGTGTAGGCGGAGGAGCCGACCCGCAACGCAGAGACCTTGCGGCAGCGAGGAGAGGGGAAGCAGGGCGTCCTGTTGGGAGCCGGCGAGGCGGGGAGAGAGAGCTTGGCCGGCGTTTTCTGGATCCGGCACATTTCCAGCTTCGGTGGGCTGCCAGAAGCTTCCGGCGAGCCGGGCAGAGCGCGCGGGTTGCGCAGGCCACCTTGCGCCGTCGGCTCCGCGCTGCTTGCCTGCCTCTCCCCGGTGCCGTCGGGAGGACGCGGGTTTCTCTCTCGGTTCCTTCTTCGGAGCGCCAGGATCTCCGGCTTCTTGCGCTGCCAGAAAGCGGCCGAGAGCCGAGCGCCGCCGCCGGAATGGGCGAGGGCGCGCCGGCTCTTAGATCTGCCTCTGCATCTCGAAGGCCTGGGCCTGGTTAGCGCGTCCCCGCGGGCAACAAACCCGCGCAAAGCGGAGCCAGGACCCCGTTCTTAGCTGCCAGCAGCATCCAGGATCGCGCCCCCACGATTAAAGAAGTGCTGGGGAGAAGAGACCCCAAATTTAGCCAACAACGAGGAGTCGAAGTCTCCTTTAAAACACACACTTTAAAAGCGCGCAGGCGGAGCGGGCTCCACGCTGAATCCGCGCGGCTTCCACGATACGTGTCGGTGCATTTGCGCCGCGCATTATGCAGAGACCTTTCCCTGCAGGCAGGGTGGGATTCCCCCCCCCCCCGTGTTTCCAAGTCCCTTTAATTTCAGTGGGAGAGTGAAGTTTGGGAGCAGGAGAGCGCTCTGCGCCGAAGCTGCGATCCTGGCTGTTAGGGGAGTGAGATCCCACAGTTTGCAAACTGCAGACCGAACCAACCAACTCCGCATTGTATTGCATTGACGGCTGGGGTCTCCACCGGGCGCTGCCTCGTGTGTTTATCGGTTTGCCCCAAGCGGGCTGTGTGGACGCACCCCCTGTTCTTTCTTAGATGCTCACGACGAAAGCGAATTCAGCATCTGGCAAAGAATGACGCCGACGGAGATCAGAGGCAACTTGATGCAATCTTACCTAATCAGGTATTTTACAATGGATCTAGGGAAACAGCGCTGGGGCCTTGTCTCTCTCCTCCCCCCACCCCCCATATCTCAAGCATATATTGATACCTACTGGGCAACAGCTAAGTCGCATTGCTTACATAAAGGCGGTGCTACCTGCCTAGAAGGCTAATATTTTAACGCCAGCTCCTTCGGAGCTTCCAGGAGCTTGCACGGCGAGTTTCTTCTGTTCAAAGAAATCTCTTCTCTGTAGAGCAAGGGGAGGGGGAGAGACACCCCCCCCAAAGCACCCTGCCTAACGCATCACAGACTCGTAGATTACACACTACCTTTCAAAATATTTTTTGAACACCAAAAAAAGCGCCTGAATCTCTCACTATCTCATCCCACCTTTTAATGATTCCCTCGCTAAGGATCTGTAGAGAGCCTGGCATGTGCGCATAGGTGGAAGGTTTGGATTTTTCCCCCCCCAGTTTGAATTTATAGTTGCTTTAAATCAAAATATGTGACGCACAGATTCGGTGGGATCTGTGGGAGCGCGCAGGGAGAGAGGAGGGCGGGGACGCCTGGATTTCCGCGGGGGCGGTGTTTCCTAGTGCCTTTTGTGCTGAGCCCGAAGGTGCTGCGTGGGTCCCGTCTCTCTCCGGACTCCTGGATCTCTGGATTTTGCCTCCCTTTGTAGCTGCGATGAGGCCCAAAGGCAGGAGGAGCGCGCCTTTCCCTTGTTCCAATCTGCTGGGTGGGCTCCCTGCTCTGCGGGAGACCTGAACGTGAGCCAAGGCACCCTAGACAGGGGAGCTCCATCCACGCAGACCCTTCTCCCTCCTTTGCCATGCTCCCAAACTCCCGTCTTCTGGATTCTGCGCCCATCTACCTTCTGGCGTCAGCTCCTTCCACCAGGCTCTGCGTCTCCTACTCCAGCGCGCATCTCCACCTCTACAAAGTTCCCCTTTTCTCCCGGGCCTCAGCATCTCAACCTTCCCCCCGCAGCGATAGCTGGTCGCTGCTGTGTCTCCCTCATCCTTTGCCTCAGTGCAGATTTGGCTTCCTGGGGCGACTTGGGGGCGCGGCACGAAGGCCTGAGAGCTCGGCCAGGACGTGTCCATTCTGGTGCGCCCGAGCACGAAAAGGCAGGAGCAGCGGAAGGGGCCAACCTCAGTTCTCGATCTTCAGCATCTTTGGCTTTGGCTTCGCCCACGACCCCACAAAAGCCGGCTGGAGGGGCCAGATCCTGAGCTGAGAAGGCCCACTCCAAACACACAAAGGAAAGGGGGAGAACCACCCTCATTCTCCTCCTGCAGGAGTCCCCTCAAGCCCCCCCCCCACTCCTGCATGGCCCTCGTGATAGCTCTACTACGGAAGTGTGAGTTTAAAAAAATTGTTCTTGACAGCGTCAGGCTGCCTTGTGCCCAAGTCTCTGAAACCTTGCTCCTTGTCTCTCCTTCCTTGCTTTGTCGAGGGAAAGATGCAAGGGAGAAACAATCTCTTGTCTCAGTAAAATCAGAGCTGTCCATTCTTTCCATAGGAAAGCCTCCGTTGCCTTTACCTCCTCTCCCTCCCCCAAATTCAGGAAGCCAAGATGATATGCCTAGTCTACAGGATAGATATACATAAACTAATAATGCACAATGTTTAAGAGGTTCCACTGGCTTTGGGGAGAGCTTTGTTCGGTAATCTTTGAAGATGCAATTTACAAATGTACCCTGAATGAGCACAAGGATTCTCATCTTGATATTTCAATCTCCCAGGCATATATTACATTACAATGTCGTTTGCATTTCTCCTTTGAAAATGGGTGTGGGGGTGACCAGGTGTTCCAACTTCAAAGAGGGAATCGGATCATCCGTGTAAGTACACAAACACACCCACCCACACACCCCACGTTGCACTGGATCTCCATTGTGCTCTGTCTCTTTTCTAGCCTCTTCTTTTCCTCCCAACTAAATGGTGATAGTCTATTGGGTTGTGTATTGCTGCTGTTTGAACATAAAACGCAGAACTGTGATCTGAATAGGTGTACCAAATTGCCTTATGGAACAGATAGCACATGATGATAGACGAAGTTACGCATGGGGGTGCTTGCCTAATTGCCTCCTATTTAATTGAATCATTTGTGGGCATCCATATAGGAGCAGACTTCAAAGCATACAAAGTTGTCTTGTAGCCCAAACCCGTGGAAACAGTGGGATGTATGTAGTAGTATTGCTCATTGGTGGTAAGGCTTCTGGTAGCAGAACAGGGACAGAAGCCATGGGCGTAGCCCCACAAATCAAGTAAATCAGTAAAAATACTTAACTAACTGAGGTTCTGCACCACCTAATATAAAGCCTGCACCCCTGGCATAAATCCTGGCTGTGCCCATGTCAGAAGCATGGTTTGTTTGTTTTTTTGCCATGGCAGCCCCCATGACCCCCTAAATTTGCTCAAGAGGGGCCCCACCCTCTGCAGTAGATTTAGGGTTATGTAATCCACAAGGGTGGCGCTGTGGTCTAAACCACTGAGCCTAGGGCTTGCCGATCAGAAGGTTGGCGGTTCGACTCCCTGCAACGGGGTGAATTCCCTTTGCTCCGTCCCTGCTCCTGCCAACCTAGCAGTTCGAAAGCACGAAGTGCAAGTAGATAAATAGGTACCGCTCTGGCGGGAAGATAAACGGCGTTTCTGTGTGCTGCTCTGGTTCGCCAGAAGCGGCTTAGTCATGCTGGCCACATGACCCGGAAGCTGTCTGCAGACAAACGCCGGCTCCCTCGGCCTATAGAGCTAGATGAGCACTGCAACCCCAGAGTTATCCGCGACTGGACCTAATGGTCAGGGGTCCCTTTACCTTTACTAATCTGCAAGGGGGACAGGCAATAACTGCCAACATTTTCTCCCCCCCTGTGCTGCAGGTGGGAGCTTTACTGTCACACTGAGCAACACTTCTGAATGCAGCCCCACGATGCTTCTACAGGGCAGCTCTGGAGAAAGCATTTTAAGCATGGCAGCTATACAAGACCGGCTTCATAGCATATTGAGAGGTGCATTGGGTTCAAATCCTGGCTCATTTATTGACTCGCTTAGTCAGTAAATGTGCTGACCCACATTGCGGGGTCCTCGTGAGGATGAACACGCCCTTGACACATTAAGGAGCAGATCTACACCACAGTCAGAAAAAAATGCATATCGAACTGGATCTTGAGTACAGGCTAGTGAAGTCAATGGGACTGGCTTCTAAATAAATTTGTGTCGAGGGCAGAATTGTAAAAGAAAGAAATAAAGAAATGTGGGAAGGAAATGATGCCCTCAGCAAGCCACAGCGCGATCACAGCAAACAAGGGGAACAGACAAATATTATACACTTACCCTGCAATTTTAAATCTTAAGCACATTGCACTTAAATAGCATTTATATGTTTATAATATAAACCTCACAGCAAAAGGCTTTTTGGCAGGATGCAGACAATTGTTTTTGAGAGAGCTGAAAGTGGTTTGAGGAAGGATTTCCCATACTGTACATCCACACATGTGTGTGAACAGACTGTCTCCCCACCCCCACCCAAGCAGTCACCTCTGGTCAAGCAGGTTTGGCAGGTTTTTGGCCCAGGATAAAAACCTGACAAACCTTTTCCTTACAGGCAAAAGTGGGATAGCTGCGCACCTCACAAGCAACAACGATCCCTCCTGCAACACTTTGGAAAATGCTTGTCTCCAGTCTTAGTATGTAGTGCATTATGAAGTTCAACTTTATATACCGGGTATATGCTGGCACTAGCAAAAAAATACCCCCAATGGATTTCTATGGGACTGCCCCAAAGGATGTATTTTTAATGACTGCAGTTTTAGGCTTCTGTTCTGAGTCTCTGAAACCAGTGAGCAAAACGGTGAGCATATCCTGAATGTCCCTCATCCCCCCCCCGCCCCCGGTCCATCTTTATTGCACAAGCCTAAAAGGCAACCCTTGAATCTAGATGGTTTCTTCCAGCAGATTGATACCTACCTTCCATGTATTCTTTTCAGTGCCTGCTGAAGACATTATTATTTAGACAGACCTACCCATATGTTTAGAAAGTTGGTACGAGCTTAAATTTGTTTTGGCCTATTCTGTTGCTGTTTCAACTTTTGTATGTTTTAGATTATGGTTGCAATTTTTTAAAAAAGTGATAATCTTATTGTTTTATCTCTTTGTAAACAGCTTTGCAGTTTTTTTCCCTATAATCAAGCAAGCAGTATATAAATTTTATTAAGTAAATAAATAAATAGCTCAATAACTGATTTCTTTGTTTTGTTTTGTTGGGCGGGTGGGCCGTCTGGAATAAAAGTAATCCAAAACACACTAGCAAGAATTTGAACTGGAGCGAGATGTACAACTCTGGGCAAGGCAGAAATTACATTTTTGTTTTTCATGCAAAAAAAGTTCCCTTTCCTTTGCAAGGTTAACATGGGAATTGTATTCTCACGTGGTTAATGTTGGAAATGGCTCCCAGGCCCGATCCTAAGCCATGTTGACTCCTGAGCTGGAAAATTTATGCACCTGTGACCACCAGGCACTTGCAGCCCTCTGAGGTCTTCAGCGAGGTCCACGAAGTGTTCACCGCCCACCGCCTTTCTGCTGCCTCCCTGCAGAGTTTGTGCTTACCTAAGCCATCCTTCCTATGACACTTGGACTCCTGCCAGGCTGCCAAACAGCTGCTTGGTGACCTCGGAGGGGTACCATTCTGATGGGCAGGATGCAGCCTGGGGAGCAACCTTCCTGCATTCTGCCATCCCCCATGCAGTTTGAGCAGGCCAAGAATTGCATAATTGTGATGGGAGGAGCGTCGCTCAGGGAGGGGAGAGTTAACAGCCTTGGCACTGTGGGTTCCTTTTGGAGGAAGGGTGGAACATAAATTAAGCAAATAAATAGATAGATAGATAGATAGATAGATAGATAGATAGATGGATAGATGATGTCTCTTCTCAATAAGTCTCTCTCTCTCTCTCTCTCTCTCTCTCTCTGTGTGTGTGTGTGTGTGTGTGTGTGTGTGAATGAATGGCCTCATCAACCATTGGCACATCACTGGCTCCAGCCACATCTCTTTCAGTTGCACCCACTGGCAGGCAGCCTCCGGGTATCCATGCACTGTTGCAGGTGTTTCATGCTCCTTGTGGCTGCGTGGGGGAGGGTGTGAGTGCAGAAAAGGTTGTCCACACCTGTCTCACTCTTCTTAATAAGTGTGATGGTCCTACTGGCCCCTTTTCATTTTAAGGTTCAGGTACTGAACCCTTTTGCGATGCTGATGCTGATAAGCGTCAAAGCTGAACAGCCTCCGTTTTCGTGGTCCATGCTCTGTGGAAATGGAGCATCTGCCTGGTTTGGGGTCTTGTTTCAGCAGATGAGCATCTGCAAGTGAATGGACCTGAAGACACTTGTAGGTCCCTCTTCTCTGAGAATACATGCCTGTTTTTCTGCTAACCAGGTGGCCTCCTGCAAATGGCAAAGATGCATTTAATTTGTCCTGCGTTTCTTCTTTCTGCTTTGTTGGGGAAAGTCTTGGAAGCGCTCACCTGTCCCTAGCCTTGCTTTTTTGGACGCCTTCAGGAACTGTTGCAGCTCACATACAGCAGCAGCTTTCCAGCCTACACAAATAATTTATTGAGTTTACCGGACAAATGCAAACAATTAAATCAAAATGACTTGGGAGGGAGGACAACTTAAAGCCACAGGGCCCTTTGCTTTACCCATTGGATGACATGTTTCTGGCACAGTGCTAACAGGGGAGATTCCTTGAGAGAAAGGCAATTCGGAACATGGGACTGCCCTGCTAGAAAAACCTCTAGACATTTCAGCAAAGGAATTATTGCCAGGCCACACAGTGCAGGGGTTCCTTGGTACCCCCTCATGCTATAGAAGTTTGTGAATAGTTGGGAATTCACCCTTCACTCCCCTCACCACTGACAAGTTATAATTTTTGTCCAGACATAGCCCTCTCCCATACACAAACAATTTAGAACCTCAATAGAGAAAGTCCCAATGGCTGGCTGGTCACTTCTGTGGTTGTGAAAACATAACAGGAAACTAAATGAAATCTCAAGATCTGCTAGCTGAAGTGTTCTGCCTCATGTGACCCAATGGCAGGACCGGCCTTATGTGCAAGGCTGGCTCAAGAAAGTTTGTTGTCTGAGGCAAGGGACAAGATGCAGTCCTCAACCTCATCCCAAGTACGGACAACCAACTGGACTAGTAGCTGAATCTTTCAAAACTGGCAACGGGATAGTGTCCTCTACCATGCGTGAGCAGACAAGCTATGGGGCTTCAAGTGGTGCACATAGTTCT